TTGGAGCTGGAAGGTCTGATAATAATAATAATAATATACGTTTATTCAAATCAATAAGTATTACATTAATTTACAATTTCAGTTTACTTACAATAGCTTAGCTTGTTGACTTAATCTGTCTAATATTACAGTTTCTAATCTAATCTAATTTGTTTCGTTTTTTTTATCTAGTATAATTTAAATTTACTAAATTGTTACACAACTCTCTTTTTTCTTTTACCCAAGCATTAACTAATTTTTTATACAAATAAAAATTTTTGATATTTTTAAAATTTATGGGCAATTGATTGTATATTTTTGGAGCAAAATATTTAGTTGACCATTGCGTGATTGTTTTTGAAGTGTGAAGACATTCAACATTCAATTTTCTTCTTGTTTCATAATTTGACACTTTTACTTTAAAAGGTATTTTATCTTTATGAATATTTTTAAGTAGCTCTAAGCAGTACAATTGCCGAACATCAAGAACCTGAGTTTCATGAAAAAGTTGGTCTGAGGGATATGTTTTTCGTTTTCCATATATTAGTTTAAGAAACCATTTCTAAGTATTTTGAATGGGTCACCAGATGGCAATCAGCTACGCCACCCCATCCTAAAATCCCATGTATAAGATGAGATTGTACTAAAGACAGGTAAACCCTCTCTGTGGCTCAGTGGTAAGAGCGCCTACCTTCAAACCTAAAGGTCGTGAGTTCGAATCTCATCTGGGTGGAGAAATTTTCGTTTATTAAAATTAATGAATGAAAATAATTTCTATCCTTGTGCGATCTGTACTCACCGGAGGGACCGCAGACGTTCGGATACAATTAGCGTCTCTTAGCAAAGACAATGACGTCGACTTTGCTAAGTATCAAGACAATTACTCTACACACACACACTACACTAGGTACCTGACTGTACCATGCCAATGATCTTAGTTGTCGAGGCATTAACTCAATAATAAAAAAAAGACAGGTAAAACATTTTAAGCTGTTCAACATCCAAAAACTCTTTTAAATAGCGGAATTTTGGTAACAGTCCTCGTATTTTTCTTATAATATTTTTTATTTGTAAGTCCCATATAAGGTGCCTGTCAATTAAAACTCCTAAATATTTTATGTATTCTGATTTAAATATTTGTTGATTTTTTATTTATTTTTAATGAATTAAAGAGAATTTTTATATATATTGTAAAAGGTATATATTTAGTTTTTTCGTAATTTATTGTGAGTTTGTTTATTTGCAACCATGTTTTTATAAATAATAGAACAAGTGATGGAGTTTAAATATCTAGGTATCACATTATCTAGCTACGAAAAGCTCGAAACCGAAGTGGAAGATCAACTGAATAGAGCAAATAGAGCCGCAGGCCGCCTAAATGAAACAATATGGAGAAATAAAAATATCGGGAAAGAAACGAAAGGCAGAATTTAGAAAACAATCATCAGACCAATAATGATATTTGCGGAAGAAACAAGACCTGACACAGACAGGACAAAAAGGATGTTGGAAACAGCAGAGACGAAAACGCTTAGAAAAATTGATGGTAAGACATTATGGGACAGAGCTAGAAGTACAGATTTACGACATAGATGCAACGTGGAGAACATCAAAAATTGGGTAAGAAATAGAAGAGTAGAATGGAACAGCAAAATCAGGTCTATATAAAAAGAAGAAGAAGAAGAAGAAGTTTAGTCAGATCTGGTACTTCGTACTTTCATTCGGTATTTTGTCCTTTCCTATTGATTTTTTATTTTTTAATTTTCTTAATGCTTCTTTTACCTCTTCCGTCTCAATATTTATTTCTTCGTTTGTCGTCACCTCTGGTGTTGGTGGTTTATCCAATCGTAACCTTTAGCAAATAGGGATCGAAAGTAGTTTATACAACTCTTTTCTTTGTCCTCTGATCATTTTTTGTATTTCTTTTTGTGTTCCGTAGAAGTCGTGTTCCATCTGTTTTGAGAAACTCTGTCAGTGTTCCTTTTTTATTTGTCTAACTAAAATATTCACACTAAAAAAATTTCAGGATGATAAAAAACAGAAAAGCAGAAGAATGTTTCCCAAATTAAAATGTACCTATCGCAAGAGTTTTCGCAACAAAACGTGAGGCATTTGAAATATTCTTAAAACATGCTGAATTTAAACTTTTAGATTACAAACGATCTAAAACTTTTAAAACAGCTCTTGTTTAATTACACCAGTACGTTTTTCTAAACTACCCTCTTCTGCTACAAATTACACTCAAAACCATCTTCTTTTAGCATTTTCCGTGACGTGAGATCGTTTGTAATGAAAAAGTTTAAATTCTGCGTTTTTTAGTCATATTTCTAATTCCTAATATTTGTTGCCATTACTCAAAATTTAAATTTCATGTTCAAAGTATTAAAGATTGGTCTCTAAAATGAAAAATTTTATTGATTTCACCAGAATTGTAAAAATAGTAAAAACGTTTATTTATTGAACAGATTTATAAAAACTGACTTCATTTGCGGCAAAATACAAATATTTCTTGACCATCAAGCGACCATCGTATGGTGAGAGCCACCATTGTGTTAAATACCAACTATGAACGACACAATATGATAAAAAAGAAGCAAATAAACAGATGGACACATCCAAACAACGAACAAAATTTTGAAGATCATATCGGTAAATTCCTTCAAGAAAAATCATCAACAAATGATATTAACATTCTAAATGACATAATAGTAGAAGCAATAACAGAAGCTCAAAAGAAATGCTGCCCAAAAAGCGTGAAGAAAGAAAAAATTAGTCTGGAAACACAGAAAAAAATGGAACAAAGAAGAATACTGAGAAGCGACGAAAACTCTAGTAACGACGATATAAATAGAATGAACAAGGAAGTATCAAGAGAAATCAGAAAAGACTTAAGAAAATACAAAGACGAGAAAATCATCAAAACCATTGAGAAAAATAAGAGTATGAAAATAATGAGACGCAAACTCACAAATGCAAATAAACAAATAAATGAGTCAAACTCAAGGATAGAAATGGCAACATCACATCAAACAGAGAACATATGTTACAAATTGTGGAATCATTCTATGAGACATTATATAGCAACCAATCGACTCTAGATATAGTCGAATATCAACAGAGGAAGGTCCAAAATCAGGGTTCCGAAGATATTCCAGAAATCTCCTTGGACGAAATTTACAAGGCTCTAAAAAAGATGAAGAATAACAAAGCTCCGGGGGAGGATGGTGTCGTCACGGAAGCGATAAAGTTGGGAGGCTCAGTACTAATAGCCAAAATTCAAAAGCTCTTTAATCTATGCCTATGGAATCAAAATATCCCAACAAAGTGGAATAATTCAATAACTGTACTCTTACACAAGAAGGGAGATATAGCAGACCTGGAAAGATACAGACCAATCAGTCTCCTTAACCATCTTTATAAATTATACACCCGAATAATAACGAATAGATTAGAGACAAAGCTGGATTTTTACCAACCTCGGGAACAAGCTGGTTTCCGCCCTAATTATGGCACAAACGATCACCTGCAGTGCCTAAAAACCCTAATAGAAAAAACTAACGAATATAACCGTCCCTTGGCATTGATATTTGTAGACTTTAAAAAGGCGTTTGATACAGTGGAACTACCGTCCATCTTAAGAGCACTACAAGATTGCAGGATCGAACACAGATATTGTAATATAATTAAAAATATATATGAAAATGCCACAACAACCATAAGTCTATATTCTGCAACTAATAAAATAAAGATAAAAAGGGGAGTCAGGCAAGGTGATACCATGTCACCAAAGCTGTTCATTACCGTTCTTGAGTATGCATTTAAAAGACTAACATGGCAACAGAAAGGAATATCCATCGATGGAGAAAGATTAAACCATCTACGTTTTGCGGACGATATCGTGCTTCTGTCAGATAATCTGGGAGAGATCAAAGACATGCTCAATAACAACAAGGTAGAATTAATCGATAAATACACATACTTGGGTCATGAAATTAGAATAACCAGAGACAACCAAACCTGCGAGCTAAATAGACGAATCACGTTGGGATGGGCGGCATATGGACGGATGAGAGACATTTTTAAAACAAATATCCCAATTCACCTGAAAAGGAAGGCATTTAACCAATGCATCTTACCAGTCTTGACCTACGGAGCAGAGATCTTAACTTTAACGAAAGCTACTGCCGAAAAACTGAGGGTAACACAAAGGCGAATGGAGAGATCAATGCTGGGCCTGACCTTGAAAGATCGAGTAAGAAATGAGGAGATACGCCGACGAACTGGCGTAGACGATATTATACTGCGAATCAATAAACAAAAGTGGAGGTGGGCTGGACATGTTGCTAGAATGGAAGACGGAAGATAGATGAAGAGATTATTGGAGTGGAGACCAAGAGCCGACAAGCGAAGTCGAGGCAGACCACCCACCCGATGGACCGACGACCTAAAGAGAATAGAAACAAACTGGATTGCAGCAGCTAGAGATAGAGAGAACTGGAGACGTTTTGGAGGAGGCCTATATCCAATAATGGATGTGAAAATTCGGCTGGATGATGATGATGACAAATACTGCAAAATAAAAATGCCCTCTTCACCTTTAAAACGAATTTTAATTTATCTCGATAGGATACTCCGATCAAAAGATATCGAGTTTTTACAGTCGATTTAATACACATTTTATTTTACATTTATTTTGCGTGTTCAACTAACATTCAAAATCGCCGTTTGCTTCAAGCATTGTTTCTGAGAAAACGGTTTATTCCAAAAGCTTCTGAACAATATACAAAATATTAGAACGTTATTAGAACGAATATTAGTTTAATGTTTAAATTTTTTTTTCAATTTAGAAAGTCACCTTAAATGAAATTTTGTAATATTTGTATGAATTCAGTAACTCCCAACTCTATTAGTTCTAATGATATAATGAAAACATACTTTATTTACCTAGCGATTTTCTTTTTATTTAGTAGTATAGGTGCCACTTAAGTTAATGACCGCAGTAAGTTCACAAAATCAGTAAAATGACTGCAGTGAGTGATAATGAGAAAGAAGAGGAAAAGCACTGGCCACAAGTTATGGTCATTTTAGTCAGTAAGTACTCAAAATATTCGATATAATTTTAAAATAATCTGTAAAAGATCCTTTAGTTACTACATTGCTGAGGTTTTTGTCCAATATTTGTATGTTGAGAGTACTCACTTATCACATACAATAATAAAAGTTAACATTTCAACCAATTGTTTTCTTAAATTTACTATCTAGTATATGTTGAATTCAACTTCTTTGTTAATAATCTTTGCTTTATTTTTTTATTAAATTTTGTTTTACTTTATATTTATTTGCTTTTTCAATATATTGACCATTTTACGACGTAATATAGCAACTAGCATAATATAGCAACATTACTATATAATAATTTCTAAATTATCAGGTTGAACAACTATACTAATAGTATTTTAAAAGCCTGTTATTTAGACTAATAAATATTAATATTGTTCTGAATCTATTTTTTTGTGACATTTTAAAGTAATTTTTATTTAAATGGGAATAAGCCACAATTAAAGGTTAAAGTAAGTTTATTGACGTTTCAATTTCCATTTCGGAAATCATTCGGAACGATTTCCAAAGTGGAAATTGAAACGTTAATGTTGGATATTTTTAATGTCCATGCTTCGACACCGTATAAGAGGACTAACCAAATGTAGCATTTAACCATGCGCTTTCGAAGTTGAAGTTGCAAGTTATCATTACAGAAGAATGACCTCATTTTTAAAAATGTCGTGCGGCCATCTCGATTCTACATTTTATCTCTTGATCTGGATCTAGTTGTTCAGTAATATGGCAACCAAGATATTTAAAATTGGACACTCTTTGAATTATATGACCATCAATATATAATCGTGCATCTTGATGTGCTAAACGGCTAAACATCATGTGTTTTGTTTTTGAATAGTTTATGTTTAGGCCAACCTCTCTTCCCACTTTATCAATGGCATTTAAAAGGCATTGTAATCCATTCACGTCATCACTTAAAATAACTGTATCGTCTGCAGATCTGATTTTATTTATCAGAATTCCACTAACTTTCACGCCCCATTCCAAATTATGCAGCGCTTCTTTAAATATTCTATCTGAATATAAATTAAATAACAGTGGGGATAGTATACAACCCTGTCTGACACCTCTTTGTATTTTACATATTTCTGTTGATTTTCCGTTTATGCAAGCTGTCGCTGTTTGACGCCAGTATAACTTTTCTATAAATCGTATGTCTTGACTATCAACTCCTTTATCTTTTAATATTGTAATTAATTTGTGATGCTGTACTCGATCAAAGGCCTTTTCATAGTCAATAAATACATCAAAGACGTCTTTTCTTTGATCTCGACATTTCTGCAGTAATACATTTAGTGCAAAGAGGGCGTCCCAATTTCCATTCCATTTCTGAAGCCAAATTGTATTTCATCCTGATCTTCACATTTATCTCTGATTCTACTGTGGATGATGCGTAGAAATATTTTCAAAGTGTGGCTCATAAGGCTTATCATTCTATAATCGCTACAGTTTTTCGGACGTTGTTTTTTTGGTAGTGTTATGAATTCGAACTTTAACCAATCTTCAGGGATATCACCAGTCGAATAAACATCATTGAAAAGTTTGACCAATATTCCAATGTTCTCTTCATTTATAAGCTTTAACATCTCTGTCGGTATGTTGCCAGGGCCAACGGCTTTCTTGTGCTTTGCTAACTTTATAGCATGCAGTATTTCTGATTTTAGTATTTCTGGTTCTTCACCTTCAACTAAAATCTCCGGTTCTTCGGGTCTATCATCATTATACAGTTAACTTATATAATTACACCAGGTTGTTCGAATTTCATGTTCGTCTATTATCATTTTTTCCCGACGAATCGGTTATAGTATGTGGAGTTTTCTTATGATAAAGACCAGCTACTTCTCTAACTTTTTTAAACATATTAAACGCATCATGTTTTTCATTCAACTTTTCTAATTCCTTGCATTTATCCTCCATCCAGTTTTCTTTAGCCACCTTTATTTTTTGTTTAATTGGTTTCTGTTTTTCCTTATATTCTGTCTTGTTACCTTTCAGTTTCCTTCTCTGCTCCATTAATTCCAGGATTTCATCAGCCATCCATTGTTGTTTTTTGTACCTGTGTAACGTTGGTGAATATTTTTCTATTACTTTCAAGGTAAGATCTTTAAATGTGTTCCATATTTCTGTGTTGTTTTCATTTATTGATTTCTTTAGCTCATTGTTTAAGTCATTTTCTATTAACGTTTTGTTGGATATTCAGATATTTAATTTTGGTGTTTTGGGACTTTCTTGGACTTTTTTGAGCTTCACTTTGATGTCAGTTATTACAAGGTTATGGTCTGAACCGATATCTGCACCAGGATATGTCGTTTACTCTGGTGACGCCATTCTTAAATCTCTTGTTTGCCAGAATATAGTCTATCTGATTTCTAATCATATATAGTGAATTATCTCCTAGTGCCCTCCATGTGTATAACCTACTTTTGTGTAATTTGAACCATGTATTTGCAATTATCATGTCATGTTCTTGACAGAACTGGTATAATCTATCGTCTCTTTCATTGCGCTCCCCTAGTCCCTATTCTGACCATCTTTTAACAATTAGGACACTGATAGAGAAAGCTAACGAATATCATTTAGATCTGCATTTAGCATTCGTTGACTATGAGAAAGCTTTTGATAGTGTGGAAATGTGGGCAATAGAAAGAGCTATAAACAACTGTAGAATAGATTCCAGATACAGAATGCTAATACACAATATATATAAGAAAGCAACAATGACAGTACAATTGGAAGAAAACACAAAACCTATACCAATTAACAGAGGAGTGCGACAGGGCGATGTTATTTCTCCTAAATTATTTACATTAGCACTGGAAGATGTTTTCAAAACAATGGAATGGACAAACATGGGAATAAACATAAATGGAAAGAAACTAAACCATCTAAGATATGCAGACGATGTAGTAATAATAACATCAAGTTTTGAAGAACTACAAACTATGCTAACCGAACTAGCCAAGGAATCTGAACAAATAGGCCTAAAAATGAATTTTACCAAAACGAAAACAATGACAAACACACAAGATAATAGAAACGTAATACTAAATGGAATCACAATAGAAGCGGTTAATGATTATATATATTTGGGACAGATAATAAAAATAAATAAGGAAAACCAAACAGCGGAGGTAAAAAGAAGAGTCAGATTAGCCTGGGCAGGATTTGGGAAATTAAAATGGGTCCTAAAGAATAAGAAAATACAACAGTACTTAAAAACAAGAGTGTTTGACCAGTGCATACTCCCAATTCTCACATACGCATGCCAAACATGGACTCTGACCAAAGCAAACATGGATAAGATAGTGAAGACACAAAGAGCCATGGAGAGAGCAATGTTGGGAGTAAAATTAAAAGACAAGAAGCAAAACATCTGGATAAGAAACAAAACAAAAGTCAAAGACGCAGGTCAACATATAGCCAGGCTAAAATGGAGTTTCGCAGGTCATAACGCCAGACAAACAGACAATAGGTGGAACAACACGATACAACAATGGAGACCATGGACAGGAAAGAGAGCAAGAGGACGACCCCAGATGAGATGGGGAGATGACATTAGAAAGATAGGAGGAATACACTGGAAACAGAAAGCACAAAACAGAAGCGAATGGAGGAAACTGGGGAAGCCTATGTTCAAAATTGGACGAATTAAAGGGCAAAAAGAAGAAGTCCCTATTCACCTACCAGGTCAGATCTTCGGCCTTGGCCAATTTTTGCGTTAAAATCTCCAATAATATATGTGACTTCGTTACTTTTTGGATTTTTAAGTGTCTGTTTTAATTGGCTATAGAATGATACGACATCATTGTCATATTTCTTTTCTGTAGTAGGGGCATATATCTGGATAACATTGACATTAAATGGTTTGCTATTTAATTGGAGTATTGCTAGTATGTCGTTCACTGGCATAAAATTTTTCACATATTCTTAAATTTAGACGTTATAAATAAGCCAACTCCATTCCTATGATGTGTGTCATCTTCTGCACTTCCAGAATAGTATAGTGTGCCTTCATCTTGTTCACATATTCCCGTTCCAGGCCACCGGAGCTCACTGATGCCCATTATATCAATTTTTTAAACGTTTAACCTCTTGAACTAAGTTACTGAGCTTGCCTGCTGCATAGAGGCTTTTAACGTTCCAGGTACCTAATCTGATTGTACTACTAGACATTTTTAAAGTTGTCGTACTTCTAAAATTGTAGGGATTTCGTGTGATGACGACCGGGGAGGCCCTACAGTCTGGTGCGCGCCCTTCCCTGTCGGATCTGGTTTCCGTGATCCATGATCAGTAATACTTCCGTTACGATTGATTGAGCCATGTTAACTTTACTCGGGAGTAATAATTGAGGTGTTTCCCGTTGCCTTCCCCAATGATTCTGACGCAATAGGTTTAATCCTGTGGGTTGGATAATCGGGAAGGATTTTTGGGTGTTTGGTAGGAAACTTGGATCGGGACATTACTTCCCCTATTTCTCTGCTGGTTTTTAATATATATTTCGAAAAGATCTTTCAAAATGCCCTCGAAAATATTGAAGAAGGAATAAAAATCAACGGAGAATACATAAACAACTTAAGATAAGCAGACGACACCATAATACAAGAATACCAAATACATAAAGCACACTATATATTTTGTATGCACCACTTAATGAAATATCTTCCTTATTGTCAAAAAACTTCGTTTGGTAGAAATTTTTCTATAAATTTTGTCAGGATTATCACGTTTTAGCTTCCAACATTAGTCTGCCATCATGGATACGCTCCATTTACCCTAATAACGTCTATCCATCTGCTTGATGTCTTGGTTAAAATGTTCCTCTTGCTCTTTGCTAACAGCTCCAAGATTTCCTGGAAATTTGTCTAAATGAGCAAATAAAAAATGTACTTTTAAACTTAGGAAATCTTGAACAAATATATTTAAAACATTCTCCGTTTTTGCCAACAGCTTTGACAAACTGTTTCATCAAACCTAATTTTATATTCAGAGGGGGCAATAAATATCTTTCACTATCAACTAAGGCATTGTGTTTTATGTTTTTGCTTCCTGGCGTAAGGTTTGCTCTTGTAGGCCATTTTATTTGGGTCCAATGTTTATCTCGTGCTCGGCTGTCCCATTCACAAATGAAGCAAGGATATTAAGTATAACCTGACTGTTGTCCAAGTAGCTTACGCAGAACTTTTAGATCTTCACAAAACATCCAGTTATGGTCTCGGTATTTAATTTTTTCGAAGAGAAGTTTCAAGATTTGGTATATTCCTATAAGGTGAACATAATGAGCGACCGGAAAAGAAGCCACTGTATTACAATTGTGAAGTAAAACACCTTTTAGACTACTTTCACTAGAGTCAATAAATAGTCGCCATTCTTCCTTTTTATAAGAGGCAGTTCCTAGCCTAATAACTCGGAGATATTGTTCTGAATCTATTTTCTTGTGGCATTGTAAATTAATTACTATTAAACTGGGAATAAGCCACAATTAAAGATAAAAATACGTTTATTGACGTTTCAATTTCCACTTCGGAAATCGTTCTCAAAATACAAACAGTAAATTTAAAAAAAATTTATTTTTTGTTACATAGTGAAAAATTCTTCTAATAATTTAATTTTATCTGACTCATTTATATTGACAATTCAGACATACATTATGCATTTTAAAGTAGACGACTTTAAAATGATATTGCCAATATTGTCGGGTTGCGCTCCTGGGACGACTTTACTTATAAGATAGTTCATTCGATTACATGAAATCAACTTTAACTTGAGAATATCCGTCAGAAAAAAATAGTCATAGCATGTAATTCGTCTTTAAAAAGACAAACACATGACATGATGACATTAAATTCTCCTGTTAGTGATTCCATAGTAAATTATGAGGGAAAAACCAGGAAAAAAACCTCATAATACTATACCGACATTGTAAGTATTTGTTCGTGAATTTAGTTTACCTTCAACAAACATTCAAAATTCTGATTTTATATGTTACGTTATTTAAAAAACATAAATGATGTATCCTCTATATGTTACTGACTTACTAATACTGGTATTTTCTTATTAATAACTTCCTCTTTCAATATTGGTAACCAGATCCTACTACATTCTGCCTAGGAATTTGCGACACAGTTGACCTCATTTAGCATAATTAGAGCCGCTTCTTTGATTTTTCTTTTTTTACCATCCGTTTCTTTTAGGACTACATTTAAATTATTCCATTGAACCCTATGTTCATTATCCCATGCGTGTTTACAGATTTGAGATCTACCAAATTCTCTATTTTTAATATAAGATTGATGTTCACTTATTCTAACATTTAATGGCCTAGATGATTCACCTAAATAAAACTGATCGCATTCACAAGGTATTTTATAAATGCAATTCTTTGTTCTTTCTTGTTCATTGTTAGGTTTGGTTTTGGACAAAATGGATCTCAACGTATTTGTTGTTTTGAATGTTGTTGAAATGTTGAATTTATTTCCTATCCTTTTAAGTTTTTCTGATAGTCCTTTTATGTACGGTATTGTTATTTTCCTCATATTATTCCTTGTGTATGCTGTAGGATCTCGTTCTAAGTTGTTCTGTTCTATTTGATCGATTGTTGAAAATTCCTTATTTATAAACGATAAAGGATAATCATTTTTTAATAAAACAGATGTTAACAAATGTTTCTCCTCCAAGAACGAATTTTCGTTAGAACAAGTAATTTTGGCTTTATCGTATAAGGATTTAGTTATTCCCTTTTTTACATTAATATTGTGATTTGATTTGAAATTTAAATATCTATTGGTGTGTGTTGGTTTTCTATACACCTGAATCTCATATCCAGTATCGTTCTTAGAGATTAAAACATCCAGGAAAGGTAGCGTGTTATTATATTCCTTTTCCATGGTAAATGTTATTGTCTTTTCTTTATCGTTTATATCATTTAGGAATGTGTCCAACAACTCTGATCCATGAGGCCATATTGAGAATGCATCATTCACATACCTCCACCATACTATGGGTTTGAAATTTTGTTTAGAAATGATATTTGTTTCAAAATCTTCCATAAATATATCGGCTAAGAATGGAGATAAACTAGAGCCCATTGCTAGACCAAAATTTTGTTTATAGAATTCATTATTTAGTTGAAAATATGTATTATCAGTACATAATGTTAATAACTCCATTATAGCCGATATGTTTAGTCTTGTTCTAGTTGCCAATGAATCATAATTTACTATGGAATCACTAACAGGAGAATTTTACTGTCATCATGTCATGTGTTTAAAGACGAATTACATGCTATGATTTTTTTCTGACGGATATTCTCAAGTTAAAGTTGATTTCATGTAATCGAATGAACTATCTTATAAGTAAAGTCGTCCCAGGAGCGCAACTCGACAATATTGGCAATATCATTTTAGAGTCGTCTACTTTAAAATGCATAATGTATGTCTGAATTGTCAATATAAATAAGTCAGATAAAATTAAATTATTAGAAGAATTTTTCACTATGTAACAAAAAACAAAATTTGTTTAATTTACTGTTTGTATTTTGAGAACGATTTCCGAAGTGGAAGTTGAAACGTCAATAAACGTATTTTTATCTTTAATTGTGGCTTATTCCCAGTTTAATAGTAATTAACTCGGAGATATTTTTACAATATACTAAAGAATCTTCTTAAATAAAATATGGACTCAGGACTTTTCCTCGATTTCTGTAGAAACTGGTTGATATACCTGGAGCCAGCAAATTTTATCACAATGTCTAGAGGCGTCTTTGGGAAGATTTAAGTCTCTTATTAAATCGTTTAATTCCATTTGATTAAATAGTTATGGTCCTTCTTCTGCTTCAAAGTAACGTCGGGATCTGTGGACCCAAATGCAGACTGTTCTGAATCAGACGATAACACATTCTCTAACTCCTTTGGTGGAATAGGTATGGGTATATCAGGGCCATGAAAAATAGGCAAAGTAGCAATTATCAGAATGGTTTTTTGGCTCACGCAACACCATGGGAACTCCAAAGCTCAATGACTTTTTTCTTCCTGTTGTCCAACTTCTTAAAGCTTGTACACAAACTTTACATACAATATGTGGTGCCCAAAAGTTTGTTCTTTTCTCCTACTTTTTATAATGACTTTGTTCTTCCTGTTGTCCAACTTCTTAAAGCTTGTACACAAACTTTACATACAATATGTGGTGCCCAAAAGTTTTGTCCTTTTCTCCTATTTTGATTCCAAAATAGGCATGATACGCATTACGAACAAATCAGGTTGTTATGTCTATTTTGCAACACCAAAACTGCCATAAATATAACAAAAGCAGTCTGCAAAAGCAGAACACAATGTCTCCTTTCCATAGCTCAAAAAAAGAACAGAATAAAAAATAAATAGCACTAATGAGAAACATAGCGATAAACATTCTCAAACTGATTTTGATGCGTTTTTTTACGACTGGGAGAGGTGCAGCCGCTTACAGTAATGCCACAATTCAGAATTTTATTAAAATATTTTTGAACAACCGTTTATGCCATATATTTACACTAAAACCGTTTTTTTAATTTTATATGTAAATTTTTCTTAAAATCAAGGAATTTTTATACGATCTCCATTTGCGAAAAATTTGAAGGTAATAGAAAAAAACTAATGTCAGTTCCGGATTCAGGAGGTCAAAATTACCTAACAAAAGATGTTTATTTTAAAACATTAAATTCATTGTTGACCTGTGTAATTTATTTGTATTTCAAGATTTATATTTGTTCTAATATTAATTCAGTCAAATTATTTCATTTTTTATTTGCTTTTTGATTATTTTTTATATTCTAGGTATGCTTGCTGGAATAACCAACGGCATGCTCTTTTCATGGCCTTCTCCTTTTCTTCTGAAAATCACCGAAGATAAAGACCACTACGACATCACAGAACAAGAAGGATCATTTTTTAATATCATCCACCCGCTAGCGATCATAATTTTCTGTCCACTTTTCTCCAAACTCTTGGACGTAATTGGAAGAAAAAGGACACTGCTTCTGATAGTCATACCACAAGTAGCCAGCTGGCTGTGTTCAGGATTCGCCAAATCAGTGTTCGTTTTCTACGCTGCTAGAGTATTCTCTGGACTATCAGAAAGTTGCCTTTTTGCAGCTTTACCGTCTACATAGGAGAAATCGTCAATCCAGAAATTCGGGGCACTTGGGGGAATGCGATATCAATTTCTCTATATTGTGGACAGTTTTTAATTAACCTTATCGGTAGTTATTTAAGTGTAAGACAAACATCATACGCTTGTTTAGCCATCCCAATTTTATTCTTTATACTATTTATGTTTATGCCAGAGTCTCCCTACTATTACATGATAAAAGGTGAAGAAGAAAAGGCTAAACAATCATTAAGGTTCCTAACAAGAAAGAAAATCATTGAAACGGACTTTAAAAGTTTACAGAAAGATGTCGAAAGGCAAATGTCCGAGTCAGCATCTTGGATCGATATATTGAAGATTAATAGTAATAGAAGAGCCTTGGCTGCTGGTTTGTTTTTACGTTTTAGCCAACAGTTGTCGGGATTAACTGCTTTTAACACGTACACACAATTTATTTTTGACAAAGCAGGAGAAAAAATTGGAAAAGAAACCTCTGGTATAATTTTCCAAGGAGTGTCTGTGATATTAAACGTTGCAGTTCTGTTTCTTATAGTAAACCGGTTTGGAAGAAGACCTTGTTATATAATCTCGGTGTTTTTTGCAGGTGTCGCGTTGTATGTAATGTCTGCTTACTTATATCTAGACGCGTACACTCACATGGATCTATCACGTCTTAAGTCAGCGCCGATAGTAATTTCTGTAGTATTTTTAGGCTTTTCTTCTTTTGGAGTATCTATCCTTCCTACACTTATGCTAAGTGAGTTATTCTCAGCTAGTATAAAATCCAAAGCTATGACTTTGATAATAATGGGGTATGGAATTGGAAGTTTCATAACGAACTATCTTTTTTACTTTTTAAATACAAGTGTAGGGTTTTATTTTCCCTTTTTATTTTTTGCCATATGTAATACAATTTCCACGATCGTGGGATATTTTATAGTACCTGAAACGAAAGGGAAGACCCTGGAAGAAATTCAACAATCCCTAAAGGGAAATACTGATTTTGATTAAGAAATATGCGTTATATTTTTTACTTTAAATTCACTTTTGTTGTGTAAAAACATAATTCCGTATGCCGGAGATAAAGGGCACTATGTCAAAAATTTGTAATTTTACAAGAGAAACGTTTTATGGATGTGTATTAATACACATTATGTCACAAACCCTTGTCATATTTATTCTTCAGATTATTAACTTTTAAAATTGTATAGTTTAAAACACATATAGTGATACTTTTTTTTTGAACCTATTCTCTATCCTTCCATTGTTGGATATAGGTCTCCCCCAGTTTTCTCCATCTTTCCATATCTTGAGCTGTTCTCTGCCATGTGGAACCTCCTTGTTTCCTGATGTCATCTTTCCACCTCATCTGTGGTCTGCCTCTTGATCTATTTGCATTGTATGGACGCCACTTTCCGATGGCATTGTTCCATCGTCCGTCTTGAAGACGTTCATTGTGTCCAGCCCATTTCCATTTCAGTTTTGCTGCTTGTTCTATCGCGTCTACCGTCTTTGTTCTGGTTCTGATCCACTGGTTACGTTTTCTATCTTTAAGTGATATACCCAACATTTGTGTCCATTGCTCTTTGTGCCTTCCTTATCCTATCTAAATTGGCCTGTGTAAATGTCCATGTCTGTGCTCCGTAGGTGAGCACCGGTATTATAGAGGAGTTATATACCTTGCTTCGTAAGTATAGAGGGATTGTTTGATTTTTTAGAACGTAAGAAAGTTTGCCAAACGCTGCCCATCCCATTCTTACTCGTCTAGATTTTCTCTGTTAGCTCTGATTGCTTGTCGTAGATAGATATACTCATTTTCCTATTCTATTTTTCTGTTTGTATTTTTATTGCCTCTTAGTCTTCCGTGTTTTCATTACTTTTGTTTGTTGAAGTTAATTTTTAGGCCTTTTTGCAGTGATTTTTCATGAAGTTCATTCAGCATTGATTCCAGTTCTTGTCGTTCCGAGAAGATCAGGAGTATATCATCCGCTTATCTAAGGTGATTTAGGTATTTTCTGTTAATACATATTCCTCTGTTTTCCCAGTCTGTTGATTTTATTATGTCTTTGAGGGTCAAGGTAAACAGTTAAGGTGAAACTATATCGCCTTGTCGGACTCCTCGTTTAACTTTTATATTATCCGTTTATTAATTTGTCGTCCAGAATTACGGTCATGGTTTCGTTTTGGTAAATATCATGTATCAATTGTCGGTATCTTGAATCTATCCTACTATTGACCAGAGCTTCTTCAACCGCCCAGTGTTCAATGCTGTCGAAAGCCTTTTCATAATCTACGAATGCTAAGTACAGCGGAAGGTTGTATTCATTGGTTTTCTTAATTAGGATTTTAAACGCATGTAGATGGTCGATTGTGCTGTATCCTTTCCTGAATCCGGCATAGTGATACTAAACTAGATTTTTTTTTAATAAAAAAAATTAAAACACAATTTAGTAAACATAGTGCTGTTTTCCTCTTCAAGATCTTTTGGGTCATGGTATTAGAAGTTTATTAAAAATGCATTATGTAATATTAAATTTTAATTTGTTTCTTCTTCATGACAAATATTACAGGGTAAAGTGTAAAACTTAATATTTGTTTACATTTAACGGCAGGGATACTGTTAGAATACTAAAAGAAGCATAATGTATATCCCTCATGCATCAAAAACTTCCTCTTCATCATCTTCTGGGTAATGATTAGCGTTGTTAAATGTAGGTAAATTTTTATAAAAATGATGACATACAGATGGTAAATATGGTAGCAGTGACTTTCAGTCATCGAACTTTTGGCGAGAAATCGGTAATAGGTTATTAGTGATAGGCAATAGAACTTCTGACCATGTAATTTTTTCACTTCTTCGAAATCGTATCATATCAAGTTCTTTGAATATTATTCGCCTCTCGACGAACTTGAAGATGAACAAACATGCAGTAATACACGTTATTTTTCAGTGTCAAGTTTTCTTAAGACAAAAGGAGGTTCTTTTTTGACAGACAATGAGTTAAACTGCTTGAAGTCCTCATATTCCATCTTGTGTATAGTGTATTTAGTATATATGTTTGGCGTACAAGCCGTACAAGTTATTGCCAATCCCAAGGTGTCAGTTTTGTTATGTTTGATACTCTTTTCCTTTTCCTTTCAATGAGTATGCCCCTTTAACAAAACCTTTGATCTATTTGCTGTATATGTGAGAAGGCAAGAATCTTCAAAATTCAGAAATATGGCATTACAATAAACGTATTTTTACTTTGACCATAACAGTTGTCCATCTATATGGTTATTTGTTAAATAGTAGAGTCAGGTATTACACTATTTGCCCATTTCAATAAACAAGAAGCAATTTATTTTTCGTCACGAGCTGCTTTACTTTCACTCCACATCATGCAGTGTACTGAAGAGTCGAAGGAATTATAAACCGTAAAATTAAATGTCCATAGTTTTCTTTTATAAAAACTGATGCTGTTTGTAATCATAAGTGTAGGTAAGCATTTTTGGAGATCACAAGTCAAAACTTTATATCTCTGATTATCCATGGAAAGTTTAATATCTCGATTTTTTAAATCATATCTCTTTTTTGTACTTTGCAAGATGGCCTCTTTAAGAACTGTTACATTGTTTCTTTGCTCTAGATTTAGTTCATTCATGAGCCTAGCACAAAATGAATTACAAACGTCACAAATGTCTGTACCAGGTAATTTAAAGGAAATATTAAATTTTTTTGTTAAACACATCATAATATAACCACTGTTTAGCAACCAATTTTGAATCAACATTATTTTCAGCACAATAGGTTGTCTAAAGGCTGTACATATTTTTGATATTTAATTTTGATCCTAAATATTTTTTAGTGGTTTCCTCTCTGGTATAATGGCTCTCATAGTTAGGAAATGATGAAATATGATTCTAAACATTTTCAATAATTTCAGGTAACATTTTATTTCTAGGAGGGTGCTTCCCTCTTAATTCTGGTTGTATCAGACCTCCTTGTTCTGTCTTTTGTAAAGCTTTTACCACCACTTTATTCGAATTTCCTAAAGTATTCAAAAACATAACTTGGCAAATGCCAACATTCTTGTTATTAACAATAAAACTGTGAAAAAGACTATTTTCCTTTGGTTTGCTATATTCTTTATTTCGTTTTATGGAGCGAGCTATAGGTTGACCCTTTACACACGATCTGACAAAATGTCTTATTATGTCATTGCTGTTGTCTTCACACCAATATCTATCGATATTTTTTGTCTCTCATTTTTTGATAATTTATCATAACACTTCTTCCTACAACAACAAGGTGGTTTCATAGATTTCACTTGACATACTTTACCGTTTTTGTTAACATATTACTTTCCGTACATTGAGTTTTGTTTTCGTAGGTTACACAACCATTTGCCCAAATGTCGGATTCGTTTTTTACCGGCTTGGTTAATACTGGATTTTTTATTTTGTAACTTTCTTTTCTTAGTTGGCTTATCATTTACATTGTTAGTATTTTTATTATCTTTGTCATTGGAATTATTACCACTATTACATACTTCATCATCGGATACATAAAGATCTTTTTTCAATTGATTCTTTAGACTTACTGCTTGTTTTATTAACTCGTGACCTGTTTTCTCGTTACTGATTCCTGCCTTTAACTCTGATGAAAATCATCTTTATTTTTCATCAGTATCACCAGATGTCTCACTGAGCAAATAATCTTTATCAGCATCAGAATCATCATTATCAAAAAATGAATCGTCATCGTCTATAGTAAGTCCATCAGCGGAATTATTTGGATTGGATTTTTCTTCTGCATCTTCTGAATTTGGATCTGGAAAAAATATCTCTTTTCAACAACTCTTTTTCAAATAATGAAAAATAGTTTTAAGAATACGTTTTTCCGTAAATGCCACAAACATGCCACTATAATTTGTCAGAATCAACGTTATTCACTCAATGTAATAAATGTGAGTGTTTCAAAACAAGCTATTAAACTAATCAATTTTTTAAACTAAATATTTTTTGAAACAAAATGAAATT